TTTTCTTCATTATCAAAACTAATACGATGTATATGAACACTAAAAGAAACCTTATTAGATATTTGAACTGCACAATTCAAGAAGCAGATAAATAGCTAAATGGAAAATACATTTAGGAAAACATAATTTTGAATATCATATAAATTGCTTAAATTTTAATAATTACCAGTCTTTTTTCATTATAAATATGAATTAGAGTTCCTAGTTACAGTGTTTCTTTAAAATCTATAAGAATACAATCAATGCTGAGCATGTCAATATTAATGCTCTTGAAGTTTTTCGTAGAAAAGATGGTTACAAAACAGTATGCAACAATGTTGTGGTTGGCAAGTACAATTTCTTACAGGAATCCACATACATATTGTGTTACTTAGTGTATTTTGTATTCTGAATAAATGCTAATGTTATACTATTTCCTCACTAATTTCCCCTCTTCCATGCACACTAACTTCTGTGTCATTGCATGTTAATAGATAATATGCTTACCTTCTGCAAAATCACTGTTTTCATAAACACTAAAATATATTTTGTCTTATCTTCTAGAATATGAGTTTACTTTCGGATGCCCGATCTGCCAGAGTGTATCGGGATGAACTTGATGCTCTCAGAGAGAAGGCAATCCGGGTTGACAAGCTAGAAAGTGAACTCAGCCGATATAAAGAAAGACTACATGATATTGAATTCTACAAGGCTAGAGTAGAGGTGATTAGAAATTATAAATTTCTTGTTAAATGTATACCCATTTTTTTACTGATTATGGTTCTCACATGAGTTAAGTGTTGTTCAGTTAGAGTTCTGTGTTTGTGCTGATCTTGTTTTATGTCATAGGTCTAAAAAATATGCGTTCTCCTATTAGTAAATAATGTTTTTCTTCAGCTGTAAGTAAATGTAAATTTAAATGCAAATTGGAAAGAGCTGATTATAAACAACAATGCTATCTAGACCTGTGTGGCTATTGTTCATTTGTATCCACCAGCAAAGTTCTTGCAATCAAGAAACTCTCTACTTTAGGTAATTAAAGCATCTTTTAACATGTTCCAGAGAAGGCAAATTTTCCTGATACCTGTGAATAATTATAACTGACGTTTTGAGTGACCAGAATTGACAGAATTGGAGGGCTTAATCCAGGACATAGCACCTTTTAAGCCCTCCAAGGGCTTCGTGAATGACTGTATTTGGAATAGGCTGGAAGTTGACTGAAAACTATAAATCAGATTTCAAAGGATGCTGTTAACACACCATGCATCTGCACCATTGTTCAATAGTTGTTATCAATTCCTTTCCATGATTGATTGATTGATTGATTATTTATTTATTTATTTAACTTGTGGGAATTTTGGAGTTCAATTTAGAAATATGGTTCTCTAAAATCCAAAGAGTATTTTATTGGATTAGTTTTGGCTCTAAATTTAGAATTATGTGCTTAGTATTTTACTCTGTCAAACATACTTTTTCTTACATAGTCATGTAGTTTTATGTAAAATATAACTAGCAGTTTTTACATTTTGTTCAGTGTGTGCCATTTTAATGTGGAGGTTTTTTTTGCTACTTCATTCCATATTTGATTGTCAGCTTCATATTTCTCACTGATTATTGTAGGAGCTGAAAGAAGATAATCAAGTATTGCTGGAAACAAAGACAATGTTGGAAGATCAGTTAGAGGGAACCCGAGCCCGTTCTGATAAATTGCATGATTTGGAAAAGGAGAATCTGCAATTAAAGGCTAAAATCCATGATATGGAAATGGTGAGCATACAGGATGGGATCACAGTCACTTTTTAAAACAAAATTACAGGTAGTCCTCACTTACTGATGGTAATTGGGACTGGGAACTCCATCGCTAAGCAACATGGTCATAAGGCATGAGGTTATGTGACCGCACTGACTTACAACAGCAGTTCCCACTGTCCCAGTTTTCATTGTTAGACAAATCCCATACAGTCACAATGTTCTGTGGTTACACGATCACCATTTGTGATCTCCTGCTGGCTTCCCCATTGACTTTGTTTGTTGGAAGCTGGCAGTGAAGGTTGCAAATGGCAATCGTGACTGCGTTCAGCACCATCGTAACCTTGAACGATCACTGAACGTTAACCACGGACTTCCTGTATTATGAATCTGCTTATTCTGCCTCCTGCTAGCTTTATTTGGTGTGTTCTTATTTTAAATTAATGATGTTTTATTGTAAACTGCTTGGTTATTTAACATTTATACAATTAAAAATTAAAGAATACATGTTTAAAAATTTAATCACTGAAGAGTGTAAAATGAACATTCAGATAACTCTTCATTAATTTATTTGCAGCATTTTATACATCAAATGTTAATGCTTTTTATTGTAATTAGTTTTGTAATTGTATCTTTTGAATGAAAATCGGTTTTTTTAAATGCTAACTTTTGTTAGATAAAAATATAATATAGATAGTCCTTTGGTTATGACTACTCGTTCAGTGACTATTCAAAGTTACAATGGCATGAATGAGGGGGACTTATGACCAGTCCCCGGAGTTCTGGCCGTCACAGCTTCCCCACGGTCACATGACTGTGATCTGGGCACTGAGCCGCAGTCACATTATTGCGATTTCTGATGTTCCCTGCCTGCTTCCCAGAAGCAAAGTCAGTGGGGAAGTCAGCAGGAAGTCGGAAGTTGTTCCCTCTCCCATCACTTTTTTGCCTGCCTGCACTCTGGAGAACCTGCACTCAGCACTCAATGCAGCACTCGCACACCCACCCATGATCCGAAGCCCCTGCCAGTGACACCGCCCCCCCCCAAAGCTCTCACATGCAGCTCTCACCTTTTGGCCTGCTTGCCTGGGACTCCCGCCTGTTCCTGCTTAATGACCCACATGGTCCTGGGGGTATGACAACAACCAGGACTGCTGGATTGCCGTTGCTAAGTGATGCAGTCCTGTGACATCATGCTTTACAACCGCATTGCTAAGCAATGGAAATTCCGGTCCCAATTGCTGTCATGACCCAAGGTTTACCTGCAGAAAAAAATAAAATGACATTAAATGACTTGAAGACTGAAAGAAGAATTGATAGGGAAAATAACTTTTCTGTAGCTTTTTATGGCTTCTTTCAAAATAATATATGTAAATATATTATATAGAATAGCAAATAGAAAGTTTAAAAACTGTCCTTTTACTGTTGTGTATTACGAGTGGCTGATGCTCACCTGTACTTCAGATTAAGATTTTTCTAGCTCTACCAAATGAGATATATAATGGATGCCTTTTTTGACTGAATTATCTAACTTCTAAATCCTTCCTCACTGAAACAGTTTAAATAGTTTTGTGATATTCAGGATGTTTTCATAGTGTCATAGTTCCTTACATTTTGTAAGCATTGTATGTATGCATTAGATTTAACTACATTGTTTCTGTGCTGCTGATAACTTATTCCAGTTTCCCTAACAAATTAGAAGATTCAGACAGTAGTATTTGGCTAAAATTTGGTTACTGAAATATATGTGGTTGCCTTTTGAGAAGAAGTTTTAAACAAAGTTTCTGTGAAACTATGTTTAAGGAACATGATATGGATCGGAAGAAAATTGAGGAACTTATGGAGGAAAATATGTCACTAGAAATGGCTCAGAAGCAAAGTATGGATGAATCACTGCATTTGGGCTGGGAACTTGAACAGATAAACAGATCATCAGAAGTTTCTGAAGGTAAATAAAGCTATACTTGTTTGTTGTTCAGATGGGAAATGAGCAGTTTAATTTTCCAAATTCTTTAAAGGATGGTTCAAATATTTTTCAATTATTCTTAGAGGGGATCCAAATACATAGTCATTTGAAAATAGTAATATCCAGACTGTTTCATTCAGAGGTTTATTTGCTGCTTGCTAGTTTTAGTTCATATTACAATATTTTTATTTTATTTATGCTTTATTTACAGTGGGGCAAAAAAGTATTTAGTCAGCCACCAATTGTCCAAGTTCTCCCACTTAAAAAGATGAGAGAGGCCTGTAATCACCATGATTTGCAAATAAATTCTTTAAAAATCAGACAATGTGATTTTCTGGATTTTTTTCCCCATTTTGTCTCTCATAGTTGAGGTATACCTATGATGAAAATTACAGGCCTCTCTCATCTTTTTAAGTGGGAGAACTTGCACAATTGGTGGCTGACTAAATACTTTTTTGCCCCACTGTATGTACACCATGATTTGCAAATAAATTCTTTAAAAATCAGACAATGTGATTTTCTGGATTTTTTTCCCCATTTTGTCTCTCATAGTTGAGGTATACCTATGATGAAAATTACAGGCCTCTCTCATCTTTTTAAGTGGGAGAACTTGCACAATTGGTGGCTGACTAAATACTTTTTTGCCCCACTGTATGTACACCATGATTTGCAAATAAATTCTTTAAAAATCAGACAATGTGATTTTCTGGATTTTTTTCCCCATTTTGTCTCTCATAGTTGAGGTATACCTATGATGAAAATTACAGGCCTCTCTCATCTTTTTAAGTGGGAGAACTTGCACAATTGGTGGCTGACTAAATACTTTTTTGCCCCACTGTATGTACACCATGATTTGCAAATAAATTCTTTAAAAATCAGACAATGTGATTTTCTGGATTTTTTTCCCCATTTTGTCTCTCATAGTTGAGGTATACCTATGATGAAAATTACAGGCCTCTCTCATCTTTTTAAGTGGGAGAACTTGCACAATTGGTGGCTGACTAAATACTTTTTTGCCCCACTGTATGTAATGGAGGAATGGGCCAAAATACCAGCAACAGTGTGTGAAAACCTTGTGAAGACTTACAGAAAATGTTTGACCTCTGTCATTGCCAACAAAGGATATATAACAAAGTATTGAGATGAACTTTTGATATTGACCAAATACTTATTTTCCACCATGATTTGCAAATAAATTCTTTAAAAATCAGACAATGTGATTTTCTGGATTTTTTTCCCCATTTTGTCTCTCATAGTTGAGGTATACCTATGATGAAAATTACAGGCCTCTCTCATCTTTTTAAGTGGGAGAACTTGCACAATTGGTGGCTGACTAAATACTTTTTTGCCCCACTGTATGTAATCAATTTGTATGGCTGCCCATCTCAACAAGTGACTCTGGGTGGCATTTTTCAAATGTGGAATTCACCTGGGAAAGTGGATGCAGCCAGTCTCACAGCAAGTTAAACAAAGCATCCAGTTATACATTATTGATCTTGTTTAAGTTACAAAGTTATTTTTCAAAATAATTTGTGAAGGCTTTACTAAGTGGAAATAGTACCCTATCCAAATGAGAAATGCCCCAGTCAGTTTCATTTCTTATAGTATATGTTTTGACATCCATATTTCATGTCCAAAGGGTAATTAGTATATCTTACTCAACAAATAAACCTTAAGCCAAATTCTGCACATACTGGATTCTGTATGATCTTGCAGTTTCACACCTCAGGACCATAGTATAACTGGATTGTTTTATATTAATATTTGTGATTCAGAATAATCTTCATAGATATAATTGTGTTTCTGATTAATAAATAATGGTGGTTTTTAGTCAACAGTCAATGCTAATTAAGTTTAATTTTCAGGTTGGGAAAAAAATCTATTAAAGTAATTATTTAGGTTTGATATTTATATTTGTTTCTGAAAAAAAATAAATTGCTGAAGCTCTCTCCTTTTCTTTATACAATAGCAAATGATAGGAATATATGAAGTAGGGACAGTCGCTGTAGCCCCTTGGAATGGTTATGTCTCATTATATATAAGTAATAGTTTAGATAACAAATGGGCAATTAATCCTTTTTACCTTCTGTTTTAACTCAACAGTGCCACAGAAGTCACTTGGTCATGAAGTGAATGAACTAACATCAAGTAGATTATTAAAACTAGAAATGGAAAACCAAACTTTATTAAAAACAGTAGAAGAATTACAAAATGCAATGGGTTCCATAGAAGGCAGTAACTCAAAACTAATGAAAATGGAAAAGGAAAATCAAAGGCTAAATAAAAAGGTATTAATTATTTTATGATTCTAAGTTAGGAAGATGTTATATCCAAGTGCATATTTTATAAATTTAGCTTTTCTAAATATATTAAAAGTAACAGTATCTCAGTGCTGCTACCATAAACTTTATTGTGTCTGCCCATTCCTGTTCATCCCATTGCAGATAACAATATTCAGATCAGTAGAAATCCTATCCATTTTACTGTCTGTACTAGTGGAATAGTATTTCATTTTTTTTCTGGGATTTTAGTACAGATTTTTTTAAAAAAATGGCATCTGTATTCATTAGGACTTTCCCATAATATACAGTTTGGGGGAGAATATAGAGAAGAGAAAGAAGAGAACACATGGGGTGGGAGAAAATGAATGTTAGCAAAGTGAAGGTAAGTAACAGAATCTGTGAATATTAGTTGTGATGGAGGATTATAAGGAATGAAAAGAAAAGACTGCAAAGTGGATAATATAGGAATTGGGATATGGAGAATTAGAACCCCAGTCAATTTTTTCTCCTTGTAGTCATCTTACCCATGGACGTTTTGTCCCAAAGGGTCTCTTAAAAGTTCTTCTTTTAATCTAATCTTTTTGGTACATCTCATGGAAAGAAGTAGAATTTATGTAATTTTTAAGCAGAAAAATATAAACATAGGCATCTTTGTTCCCATATAAAATTTTAACATAAGTGATAATAAAAACACACAAATATTTTATATAAACCAATCTTTTATCTTTTTATATTTTTTCTTAAGTATTGTATATTAAAAAATTTGGTGGTTTTTGTTGACAGGCTCCTTTAAGGCACATTTCTTTCTTAATGAGGAAACAGCATACAGCACATCATCTTAGATGCAGTTTTTCTTGTATTAAAATTTAATCTCTGATAGACTTTTGATATAGATACACATTGTTTAATCAGTTCCTTCAAAAAACATATACACTTGAAATTTATTAAATCAAAATTTAAATTTGATGAATTTCCATACAGCTGGAAGGACTTAAGAATGAATTTACTGAAGAGAAACAAAGTCATCAGATTAGTCAGAATCTTTGCAAAGATCTTATGAAAGAGAAAGCACAGCTTGAAAAAACGATTGAAACTTTGAGAGAAAATTCAGAGAGACAGGTAATATATACAGATATTTGTTTTATTGAAGTTTGCACATTTAAATAATAAATGGTGTTTTTCAACTGATAAAAATCTATTAATCTAACAGAATTAATTAATCTAACAGAAACTGTCATAAATGGAAGAGGATGATTTTTGTACGACCTCTTTTCTGTATAATAACTGTGATCAGCAACCTTCTATATTTTCAGAATTTAAGAACAAAAACAAATGTTGTGCCCCATACTTCACAATACTGCAAAATCTTCTAAGATTGTGATAAGCTCATCCTGAAATGTCATGAAATCCTGGAATTCTCTCATGAGATTTCTTTCATGTTTAAAGAATATTAAACTAATCTTTAAAATAATTTGAGAGGGTATAGGATTATAGATACCACCAGGTGTTGTGCTGCCATCCTGTGTGCTATTACAGTTTCAAGAAATCAACAAAAGTGGTGTTGGTCTTTGCACTTGAGAAAAATGTTTTGCTGGAATGGAAAAACTTCCATCAGCAATATCGATCAGTTCTTTTAGAATATTACATAAAATAAGTTAATCTTGGTCTTGTTTCCCTACTGTGGTTTTCATATGAACAGTTTTAATTTCTTTTTATTATTTATATGTCTCTGTATTTAAATCTCAAATTGTCAGTTTCCTGAGAACTAGCCTTTTCCATGCAGTACACAAGGAGGCAGGAGACAGAAACCATGTGCATTAATGATTAGCCTTTCTGTGAGCAGGCAGCCCTTCCCTTTGGGATCTGATTAACTAGGACACAACTGTATTCTTCGAAGAAACAAATTACTCAATTTGTTCTAAAGTGGGAGCAATCTGTCCAGAAAATTTGCTGCCAGACTTACCTCGCTATTTATAGAGTGTATGACCGTTGGCTTTTCCTTCAAACAGAATAGTTCAAGCACTTTTCTTGACTAACTCTTAAATTAGACATATTTTTGTCCAGATGTAGTTGTTGTTGGGTTTTTGTTTTTTGGGGGTTTTTTGCTTAAGTTTGTCAGAGTAACCCAAACACTTATAATTTTTGACCAAAGAAATACTGCTTCCATTGTTTTAGCTCTCTGACCTCAGTACTTTATCAAAGGGAAACTTGCCTGATAATTAAACTGATAAAATGTTCAAGGGAGAACTCCCCTAGTTTCTTGAAGTGTCTGCCCTGTACAAATTTGAAAATGAGCTATTTGGATTGAAATGGGTATGTGGTGAGACAATAATGTAACTGCCTCACTGCAGTCTGAAAGCCTAGCTTTATAATTTAGATTGTAAAATACATCTTTTCAAATCTTAAGTCTTAGAAGCTGTTTATAGTATCTAAATACAAAATTTATTTATTTATTCATTCATTCATTCATTCAATTTATATAGCCACCCATCTCAGACCAGTGACTCATACCTGATTAAAATTTTCATTTTTCATTTCAATAAATTAGATTAAAATCCTGGAACAGGAAAATGAACACTTGAATCAAACTGTAACTTCACTTAGACAGCGTTCACAAATCAGTGCTGAAGCAAGAGTAAAAGATATTGAGAAGGAAAATAAAATTCTCCATGAATCTATCAAGGAGACAAGCAGTAAATTAAGTAAAATAGAATTTGAAAAGAAGCAAATGAAAAAAGAGTTAGAACATTATAAAGAAAAGGGAGAAAGAATGGATGAACTGGAGAAAGAAGTTCATCATCTTGAAAAAGAAAATGAACTATTACAGAAAAGGATTACTAACTTAAAAATTACATGTGAAAAAATAGATTCTTTAGAACAAGAGAATTCCAGTCTAGATGTTGAAAACAGAAAGCTGAAAAAGACTTTAGATAGTCTGAAAAATCTCAGCTTTCAGTTAGAGTCCTTAGAGAAAGAGAATGCACAACTTGATGAAGAAAACTTAGAACTCAGAAGAACTGTTGAATCTTTGAAGAGTATCAATATCAAGATGGCTCAGTTACAACTAGAAAATAAAGAGCTGGAAAGTGAGAAAAACCAGCTACAGAAGAGCCTGGAGCTTATGAAAACATCTTTTAAAAAGACAGAACGTTTAGAAGTAAGTTACCAAGGCTTGGATACAGAAAATCAAAGGTTGCAGAAAACCCTAGAAAACAACAGCAAAAAGATTCAACATCTAGAAAGTGAATTACAAGAACTGGAGTCAGAAAATCAAACCCTGCAAAAACATCTGGAAGAACTCAAAATCTCCAGTAAACGCTTAGAAAAATTAGAAAAAGAGAATAAACTTTTGGAGCAAGAAACCACCCAGCTGGAAAAAGATAAGAAGCAGCTAGAGAAGGAGAATAAAAGGCTCCGACAACAAGCAGATATTATGGATAGCACATTAGAAGAAAATAATGTGAAAATAGGTCACCTGGAAAAAGAGAACAAGTCACTCTTTAAAGAAATTGGAGTATGTAAAGAAGCATCTATTCGTCTAAAGGAAATGGAAAAGGAAAATAAAGAGCTTGTAAAAAGAGCCACCATTGACAAAAAAACACTTGTCACATTACGTGAGGTAATGTTCACTATTGCATGATATGCTCTCATTATGAATATAGCTGTAATGTGTTAGTAATATATCAATGTCATTTCAACAATTTACTTACCACAAATTAATTGTATTTTTATTTATTTAGTCTTAAAAGCTCTTTATAAACTCAGGTTCAGAAAGATTGTTTAGATGTTTTAAAGAAGTCGTTAACATTATACTATTTTATGTGCTTCCTATATAATGTGTACATCAGATTAATTTTGCTCTTTTTTCTTCTTTATTGAGGTGTATGAGTTCTGTGAGCACTTGTACCTTGGTTCTTTCCACACTGTGGCTGTTTACTGGTATTGAGGCATTTCTTGGAAGGATTTTTTTTTTAATGGAATAAATTGGCATTTAACTACATTTAACTACATATAGCAATTGTCTTCCCCGTGGCTCTTTTGTGTCATATATAAGTTGGTCCCCTGCAAAATTAAGTAGTAACTTCCTCCTTGCTTTTTCAGTTCTTTTCTTGCTTCCTTATATCTTGCTCTTAGTTAATTGACAAAGAGGGTATACTGCTTTACTTCATTGTTTTTGTTTTATCCTGAAGTTACAGCTATTTTGCTATAAAACAATAGTAAAAACAATGAAAACAATACTGTAATCAACATTACACAGAAGCTACTTAATTGTGAGACCAAGTAATCAAACAACATCCTGCTGTGCTTAATAGTAAGAAATAATGGAGTAGAATTTTGAAAAAGAACATATTAAATTAAAAGCACAGTGGTATTTGAAAGACTTATTGATGATTTGTCTGTCCACTGTGAACAGGACAGTGCTGTAATATCCTTGAAATAAGTGATTGTTAAGTTAGTTATGTCTAATATAAGCTGATTTCGCTTGGCTTTCTCTGTATATGAAGAAGTCTGGATCATTCTGAAATGATTAGGTTTTTATCCTAAAAGCGTATAGAGGAATAAAGTACAAGGAAAGCTAGAAAACGACCCTTTGGCACAATTGTAGCCTAGATACTGTGAGCAAACAAAGGATAGCAATTTCAGTGAAAAGGGCTACTGTGGAAGTAATCTTCGTAAACCACTGAACACTAAATTGTTTTAGGACATTCTGTAGAATATTATTGCTACTTTTCTGGATTTTTAAAGTTTAGTTAAATGCCTGTTGTTTGTATCTAATGGTAACTTTGCCATAGGAGAAAGCAAGAATTTTATTTCCGTCTTTCAGTCCTATCCACATAGGTCCATATGTAAGCTTGTGCAATTTTCAAGAGGGTTCTAGATCCAGAACCAGAAGTTTGGGAAATCAGCATAGGTAGACTAAAGAAGGTATGGAGGCATTAGTGTTAGAGAAGATTACAAACTATCAAGCGTTCTGACTTAACAGAAGTAAAAAAAAATTTCACTAAAGCAAAGCCGTTATTTTATATATAATCATATATCATACATTTTACTTCATTCTCAAGTGCTGATCTACTAGATCTTAATGCAGTATAGGAGAGAGAGAACGTTGAAGATGGTTTGAAAAACAGTTACCACTTTTTCCATGTATTTAGCTTTATTTGTACTAAACAAATTTGACAGAGTTTGTACTGTTTAAAAAGTGATAAGATTAAAATAGTGTGAGTAATACAGGAATAGTAATCTTTCTAGCAATCACTTTCTGAAAATCTGTGTCTTTTTTGTTATAGCTTGTAACAAATAGTAAATAGTAATGCCATTTGTTCAATCCATTGTTTTGTTTTAAGGATTTGGTAAGTGAAAAACTGAAGACCCAGCAGATGAATAATGACTTAGAAAAGCTTACACATGAACTTGAAAAGATAGGCTTAAACAAGGAACGCCTCTTACATGATGAGCAGAATACTGATGACAGGTATGAGTATGTAAAAGACTCTCTGGATTAGATTGGGGGATAGCTCTCCATGTTGCTCTATGGTGCTTGTACAAGGATAGCAGAGAATGTATCTCATATTTTTAATGGCAATGGTTTTAGGAATTTAGATTTTGAAGCCTAGTAATAGGAAAATAAATGGTTTTCATATCATATACAGACAAAAGAAGCATAACAATTCTCTCTGAAAATGATTTTGGCTATCCTTAACTTGCTGTAAGGGACGTGGTGGCGCAGCGGCTTAATGACGCTGAAAGTTGCCGGCCAGAAATGGTCGACGCTTCAGCGGTTCGAGTCCAG